TTCAATACCATGAAGTTTAAAGCATTGTTCTCTATTTTGCACAGACAGTTCTGAATTTGAAAGCCATGTTGATATATGTAGCATCAGTGGGCATCCAATAAAAGCATAATGTGTTAATTCCACAATAGGAGATATATTGTTACCTAACAGTTTTGGTGTAAAAAGCTGACATGAGTATCGGTATCGACCAACAACCTTCCAATTGGGGGGGCGACCCGCTCTGCCTCTGAGCCACAGCCGCCCCTATTCTGAGGTTTATACATTACACAGAGAAAAACAGGGTCAAGGTCCAAAGCTGGCAGCACACTTTCTGGCATAAAGGGCGTAAATATTGATTTACACACACAGATCCATACATAGATTGAGGCTGCCCCTTACAAGGAGTTTGCAATCTCCCCTTCTACTTATTGAACCCTATCAAATTTTTTGTTAGATTAGGTGATTATGGTGCCTCAGATTCCTGCCGTTACTTGGCCATGAGACATATCAGACTTGGCATCCAAAGCAATCACAAATTAATAAATTTAATTAAATTTACTGCCACCTATTTTGATTACCAATTATTCGCAGACATCATAACCCTAACCCTACTTTGAGCTTTGGGAAACGCTGATCAATGTTTTTCACAATTTTCTGACATTTTATGGACAGAACTAATCAATTCATCATGAAAATGTTCAACAAATTTATCAAAATGAAACTAGTTGCATCCCTAAAGAAAAGGCAAACTCTTGCATCCTGCTCCTTCTTGAAAGGCATCCTAGAATCAGTAATATCTTACTATGGCAAACTACATAAAATAAAATGACAATTTGTCATAATGTCTCTTTTCTTTCCTGATGCCCCATGTTTGATAAATGTGCCAATATCGGGCTGATATCAGCCAGGCATTAGACCTCACGAGTAGGTGGATGGTGGAAGTGGCTCTCGACTCCAAGTGTACTGAAGGAGACGCATGGTTGTCTACACTCTCCTTAGGCCAAAGACCATGTACCGTAATAAAAAATCAATGTAAATTAGGATTGACACATATTTTTACTCTGGCACTAGCTGACATTGTTTCAAGGGCCCAGTCACAGGGCAACAGCAGAACATTTTGTCCTTACTTGGTCTCAGTCACGAAGAACTGCAGGGTAGGAATTATACCAGGGCCAGTGCCGTTGATGCCCTGCCGTGTGGCCGTAACGCCCCTTCTAAAATGGACTAACCACACAGTCAGTTTGGCATTGCCCTGCTTTGAACTGGCTACTGTGCCCTTGAAGTTTGGACTGTATATATATATATAGCACCTCGTCTTCCAACCACTTAAAGCACTGTACACAACATGCCACATTCATTGTGATGACAAAGGCCATCACAAACAGAAAGTAACGGACTCACATACATTCATACACCAATGCACAGCAATTTGGTGTGTAGTATCTTGCTCAAGGACACTTACAGCAGGAGGAGCTGGGAATCAACTGACAACCTTCTGATTAGTGGATGACCCACTCTACCACCTGAGCCATAGCCACCAGTACATCAACAGTAGCACAATTTCTCCCACAAATATTTTTAGAACCACAGATGGTTCAGAAAGTTGATGTTGTGAGGAACTTTGATGTAACGTTAACAGAAGGGTAATTATGTTACTTGAGTTCTGCATTCTAAACCTTACTAAGATATGCAAGCATTATCAGTAAAATGTACTTAAAAGTATGAAAAATAAAATGGGTCATTGTGCAGTACAATCATCCCTGTTAGTTTTTTACTATTATATATGAGGTTTTTGTATTAATATTACTGCTGCATTAATAAGTATGTTGCATTTTCCTGCTGTAGATGTTTAGGATTGAGCTCATTTTTTTATATGCTATTGGGTAGTTTTGGCCTTGGTGCCCTAATAAATTTGGACTTATCAAAGCCAAAAGTGGCCTTGTCTGGAACTGGTGCAGCCCTGGTTATGGCAGCAGTTCAGAGAAATGAAGGGTCAGTGTGTATGGTTTTACAGGGTAGTCTGGGGGACACAAACATTCATGCACAAGTCCTGCACCAAGCTGGCAGGTTTGGTTTGCTCTTGTGTGGTGCTCCACTGGAAGATGCTTGACATTTCTAGTTGACCTACCTAACATAGTTTGGTTTACACATCCTGAGACACACAAACACACACATACAAACACAACCAGGTCAGAGTTACCTTAGTTTAGCCTTAAACCCACAACTTGAGGCACACATTATCATCACACACACAAACACACACTGAGTACTTCTCCTAACATCACATTATTGGGTGCGTCATAGAAGCCCTTAGACAAATGGATACAATTCCATCCAGCCTGCTACAGGCTCCAGCAGAAGGCTCTATTCTAAAATTAACATGTTAATTTGCATTACATGAATACAGTATTGTGTATCAGTAGGCACTGCTTAGTGACCTTCCATGAGTTACGCCAGAAGCATGCTCAGAGTGGAAATCATGACACAGAAAGATAAAAATGTTAACCTACTGCTAGAAACTGCAGGGAATTAGCATACATTTGCTAAATGAGACTGAAGAAATTAAATATTATATGACTTATTTACGTCACGTACGTTATTTACGATAAGATGGTGATTTCTATAAGACCTCTGTAATTACACATATTTTTATCATAAACAATTTGGTACAGTAGAAGTCTTGGAGTGAATTACATTTCTTAGTCTTGCCAGACCAAATGTAGAATGTATCAATTCATCTCAGACTCATTTTCTTATCATAGCCCTCACAGGTTTTATATTTCTGAAGAGAGGCCAGTTAAATTCCACAAGCTACAAAATTCCTCTTCGTCAAATGAGGTGTGAAGGCAAGCATGATTAGCATGACTGAGGCTTGATTATTACAGCTGCAAACACAAGGCCTAATCAGCTGTGGAAGGTTTTCCTTTCGGCCTCATTTTAGGATTATTTTCCTGGTTTCAGAGACTTGCAAGGAATTAAGCATTTATCACTGGTTAGATTTGGACAAAATAGATCTGCTCTTCGAGGGAGCTCTTTTACAGTATATCACATACTGCAGACACTACAGTACGAACCAAAAAAGTAGAATTTCTTCAACACAGCTGTACAGATGGGTCATTTATTGTCTTATCTTTCCATTCAACCATGAGCAAATACACATTCAGCACATTGTTGTGCTTCCTTTTTGTCCATGCAGAGAGAGCATTCATATTCAATTATGCCCATCCCTAACCGAGTACACACAAAGAGTCTGGGAGATTCTATTAGAGTCATTTTGGATGTTGCTCTCGTGGTAATGGTGCTCTTCTGGGACAAACACGGTGGGGACAGGACTGAGGAGGTAAAACGGCATGGTTATTAATGTAGATTTTGAGTGTGCATTTCAGTGTGTATACGTGTGCGTAAACATGTCCCCCAAAACAGAAAAATCCCTCATTTTACACTTGAGTCCCATTTAATGATTTTGTGTGTAATTGTGTTTGTAGAGTACATATGAATTTTAATGCCCACGCTTAAAATGCTGTATCTTTGAGTGTGCAGAGCCTCATCCTTGTTCTGCTTTTTATTAGGTAACATCCAGCTTTGGTAATTCTGTGTAAGGAATGCAGCTTTCAACTCTCAAAAACAGTAAACGTGATACATCAAAGAGGAAAAAAAGCATACTTTTCCATTGGTAATGCGAAAGGAGTCGATTGGTGTTTTTTAGTGGCTTTACCCTACGTTTAAAAAACCTGCATACATACATACATACATGTTCTAATTTTGGTGTAAAAGGGTATTTTACAAAATGTCAACACAGAGGGTCTATAGACATCCACAAAATCAGTCTTTACGCAGATGATTATGATTATTAGATGATTATTCCTACAGTACAGGGCCATTAGCTTTGCACAGAAATAGTTGGTAGAAATGTCCTTCAGAGTACTTTTTACTTTCATACTTTAAGGTACATTTTGGAGCCTGTAGTTTTCAGGTTTACTTTAGTAAAGAAGCTGAAACCGTACTTTTACTTTTACCAGAGTTTTTATTACGCAAGTATATGTACTACTTGAGTAAAGACTGCTGGTACTTTTGCCACCCACCTCTGGTCAGTATAATTGGTACAATGATTAGTTCTTTAGTGGTCTTGATTTGAAGCCAAGATTCCCACTGTTAGCTACACCATTTTTGGTTTTTTCTCTATATCTGTTATGAAGCATTCATGTGCTGGTGGGAAATTTTTACTATGGAATTGAGGGCTGCAGTGTTTTTTCAGAAGAACACTATCTGAAGGCTGCAAATGTCAACATAAGTGTTAGTGGAGGGACTCATAATTAACAATGAATATTTTCTTCACCTTTTTTCTCCACTGCTTAATTTATTTTACAATGCATTTATTACCTTACCCACTCCTCCTACATGATATATCCACTGCATATGCAGTAAATGTAGGTCATACAAATGTGGAAAAGGTAGGCGGATAAGAAATGATTTGGGGTGAATTTTTTGAATCCCTCTAAGAGGTTTTTACAACCAAAATGTTTCTATACTGAATATTTCCAGAAGGCAATCATAGTCTGTAAAGATTCAAATTATTTTCCCTCTTGCTGAAAATGCTTGTTTTAAATCCAAACCCTGCACATTTCTCCTGACAAATCTTTTTTATTTAGCTCTTTGAGAAAGCTGGAGGCATTAACACATTATAACTGCCCCCTCAACCATTTTTCTGACCTCCATATATACCCTCAGCACAGCATCACCAATTCTGTTCTACAAACACCCCAAAAATAGCCCTCCACCCATCACACACAATTACCCTCAGCAACACAACACACACACATAAATAAATAGTGTAGGTACAAGAAAGCCAGCAGTCAAAGTAGATCACAAACTAGCAACACACTATTTCACCAAGCATTAGCATCAGATAAAGCCTCTTCTAACTTGTAATACTAAAAATAATTGTCTTAATGTAAATAATCAACTGGGGAAGTTCAGTGGTCATATTAGTTAAATTTGTACGCTATTCACCTGTAGTGTCTCCCTCTAACAGAAACACTTACGTTTAATGATGCTGACACTTAACTTCTGGATGTCCACCCACTCTGTTGTGACCACTTAGAAGACCTGGTGAGACAAACAGAAAAAATTAACTATTAATTACTTAATTATAACCTCAATCCTGTTGTGCAAACAAATAACATACAGTTTATCAATCAGTTTAAAGACAAAGCTCCACAGATGAATGAGTATCTGCTATTATATTATAATAAGCAATATCTGTGATCATACTGTATCAGAGGGTGTGGGTCACTCTGACTGGCCCCCCTGACAGGCAGGCTGATGTAATACTGATTAGATCTACAGCTACACAAGCTCAAGTCTTTGTGCGGAGAGAGACTGTTTGCAATAATATAAGTCTGAAGAGAAGACTACTCATTAGTCTTTGCCAGTCTGAGCGCAAAAAGAAGTGGAAGATAAAGTACAGCAGACAGCACACACACACACACACACACACACGCCTCAGGACTGTCTGCAGCAGTGTTGTTTCTTCAACTGTGTGTTTTCGCTTTCAAAGAGCACGTCTGTACGCCAGCTGCTGCCCTATGGATCGCAGGCTGCTCTTTTCCCTCTTTCTTTTTGTCCGTCTTGTCTGTGTTGCTGCTGCTGCACACACTCACACGGAAACACACACCAACACACAGTCTGCCTGGAGGTCTGTGGAAAAGCCTCTGTGGGAATATAAAACACACACTCTAGTACAGTTTGTGCTACAGTGACAAAATGTTTCAGTCAATACAGTAAAATCGTCAGTTACTGTGCAAACTGTACCTTTACACACACACACACACACACACTCAGCTGCAACAAAAGTCCATTTCCAGCTAGGGCTGCTTCTAATGATCCTTTCCACAATTAATTGTTGAGTTGTTTGTTCCCTAAAATGTCAGAGTCAGATATTGAGTCATATGGAAAAATACTATTTATGAGTTCAGTCGACAGTTTCCTAATAAGTTTATGGTCTCAATCTCTAGTTTCAGTCTTATTCCATACAGCATGATGTTGGATCCAGATTCTGTTACTGTGTTGACTATTTCTAGTGTCCTGGTTTCTGTTTCGGGTCTTGGTGGGGCACAGACATATCAGACTACTCAGTTATTTTAAGACTAGTAGTGCTGCTAAGCTTCTGTCTGATTTAGTTACATTTCTCAGCAACTTTGTTTTCTCAGGCTAACACAAGTACACTGACTATGACAAGATGTTACTGAACATTAACTGTGTTCGCTGCGTGTATCAACTGGGGGTTATTTTGGGTCTATCTCAGAAAACCTAATGTAATGAAGTGTGATGTGGTATGGGCTACACAGCAAATCAATAATTCATCATTTTCATGAGTTCTTTTGTTGGGATTACTTAAATTTGCTGTTAAATTCGTCATACAGTGTGTATGTAAATGCATCTATCAATGTAGTTAGTCGCGTTATGAAAAATATATTGGTGGTGGTTAAACACCAGCATGAAAATATCACTGTTCATAAGCTGTTACGTCATCTTAAACTTGAGCTGATTACTAAAGAGTTCATCAAATATGTGTTTAAGCAATACACCCCTCTCTGATGACAGTATGGCACATATTGAGCATCTAGGGAAAAAATGTTTAACTGGGTTAAGTGCATTGCCAAAGGGTGCAGTAGTAGTATGCCCTACTTGAGGAGATTGTATGTGAATAAGGCTGCAAGGCTGTGTAATAATACTGACATGCTGCTCGTCATCTTGTTCAGCAGCACCACCGTCTTAACTGAAGTTCTCAACCTGACCCAACTTCACCCTAACAACCTGAAAATGTATGTTTAGGCTGACTGGTTTAAGGCGAGGGTTGATTGTGAGGTTACTGACAATTAGTTAGAGGAAGGACTGGGTAATGCATACAGTGGTTACGGTTAAAATTGCAATCCCCATTTACACCCTCAGCATGGTCCATGTTCTGTTTGTGGTCTGTGTAGTTGTGTAGTGTAAATTGTCCCATTCAAATTTGATCATGTCAAGGTTGGCCACAAATGTCAGGTTCCTCTGGCCCCTCCTAGTGCTCCTAATGGCATTTGCAAGAATCCATCGGACCGGAAAACAAAAACAACCAATCAGAGCTGAGAAAGGTATAAAGACGCTTTGGATTGGAGGCTTTGTTGAGTCTCATTCCCAGAGTGTCAGTATTTGACACCCTTGGAATGAGACTCAACAATTGATAATTTTTCTTGGCTCTGATTGGTTGTTTTCATTCAGGCCTGGTGATTCTTGTAAATGTCATTAGGAGCACTAGGAGGAGCCAGAGGAATTGCATTGGATTTTTTTTTACAGAATACCTGTCTTGTGTACTACTGTCAGGATATAGTGAAAGTTGCAACAAATAACAAAGAATATTTTTTTTTTAAATGACCTACTTTACGTTTGCAACCTTCAGGTAAGTAATGTCCAATGTCCTGAAACCAGTGTGTATGTGTGTATGAATCTGACTGGATGTGTTAGAGGGTTTAAAGAGTTCTCTGACATTTTGCTGTGTTACCCACAATCACACATTCAATAGTACAGACTTCACTGAATGTGTGAAGTGAATAAAGAAATGACTGATGTTGTTGATGCTCTTAATCAAACACACCACAGTGTAGCTCTCTCTGACCTGCTTTCAACAGCCTCATGGGACAATGAGGAGTGTGTGTGTGTGTGTGTGTGTGTGTGTGTGTGTCAGTGTGGGCACTTTGATGTCCAGTCTATCACCTGCTATTCCCTGCTGATCTATAACATGTCAAGTACTCACCAATTCACTAATGACTGTGTGTGTGCATTATGTTCACATCCATACATGCATATTACATCCCACCTGACAAAATCCTATTTATCTTCCAGCTATGGAAGATAAATCCATTACTGTGTCCATTACTGTGCCCCCTGCACACCCACACACACACACACACACACACACACACACTGAGGGATCATTGTAATAAATGGCTCTTATACACACTAGAAGGTCACAGGTCCCATCCTAAATAGGAAATGTCTATGACATCACTTCCTTGATCTTTAGAGGGGTTGCCATGACAACCACTCTCAGGAGCTGATAAGATAATTGGGGAAAGTGTGCGAGGTGTTGGGTTCATGTTTGTGTGTAATGCCACAATATGTACTAACTGTTCATCCAGACTCAGTAAAGCTTACTACAGACTATTTACTGCAAAATTTCAAACTCACTTCTGCTGGGTATTCCATCAATCCATGATGGTAATATTTTGTGATAACGTCTACAGAAACATTATCTTTGTGTGGTAATGTTATTGGAAGCATGAACTCTGATTTGTGGTACATTTATGTGTAAGGGGCCGTGAAATCTGAAATATGAGTGTACTGCTGAACAGCTCTCGTAATGAGGGCAAATCAAATCACACAATAAGCAAATATTATGACCAATATAATTAAATAAAGGTCTTTATTGTCCCTAAAGTCTAAATGCTTGACTCGATCCATTAAGAAAGACCTTGACATGTAGTTGAAAGCTCAAGAAACAGCTAGGTAACCTTGGGTTAAAAAAAAATCTGTTTATTTCCAAGTTTAAAATAAATTGTCGTACGCTGTCTGAATGCTGTCACTGAAGCCTTTCCCTCCTGATACAAATAAAAGTCTGTGTGTCACACTTTATTCACTTTAAACTTTAAACTTTAAACACTTTTTGTAATTTACTGGAATAATAATGGTCCAAAACATCAATATAAACCATTAAACTACATGAATCAAACCCTAATTTCTACAGGAGTAATGGTTTAGTTCCATTTAGGTTAGATTAAGCGTTGCAGACTGAACCCTTGCACTGAACACCTATAGACATTATGTATGCATGTGTGTGAAATGAACCCTCCTTTCCTCTGCAAAGTCCTGGACTGCAAAGCTAATTTTTTTAAAAAGTACTTCTTATTAAT